GGCGAGGCCTCACGAACGTGTCTTTTTGTTGAGGCGGGTCTGATTCACGAGCCCCTGGCGATATTTGTTTGTGCAACCACAGGCCAAGGAGACCCCCCAGACAACATGAAGGTAAGGCTGGCCTGACGCGGCTCCTCAGACCCCGCCCTCCGCCCTCCGCCCTCGCCCCTTGTTGCCCCAAGAGTCCAAGAAGCACGGCTTGAGGCCACCCTGGGCGGCACAGCGAGCCTCCCTCTCCACAGAAAGTTGCACAAAGCCAGCCGGGCGCAGCGGCACCCGCCTGTCGTCCCAGCTGCCCAGGGGCCCAGGCAGGAGGATCGCCTAAGCCCCGCAGGTAAAGGCTGCGGTGCGCTTGATGGTGCCACTGCACTCCAGCCTGGGCGTCAGAGTGAGATCCGAGAAGAAGAGCCCTCCGGAGAAACTGAGGGACCTCAGTGAAAGACTGAGGGGCCACGTCCCTTGTCATCTCCTGGTGAAGAAACCCACTGGGTGATGGGTCATCCTCAAGGTCTCCCTGTAGCTTTTTTCTGGTCTTTTTGAGTCAGAGTCTCACTGTGTCGCCCAGGCTGGAGTGCAGTGGGACGCTCACGGCCACCTCAGCCTCAACCTGCTGGGCCCAGGTGCTCCTTCTGCCTCAGCCTTCCTCCTAGGCCTGCTGCACGTTAGGGGTGGGCTTGAGGAGATCGCTTTGGGTGGATTTGAGGGCTCTGACTTTCCCCTCTAATAAACTCTTTGTGGCCACCAAAGACCCTTGTTCTCTGTCCTAACCTTCCATGTTACTCCAGGGCTATGTATGAATCTATTCTGGGTCTTGTGTGTATCCCTAGACCGTGTGGCCTCTAGGGAGCGTTTGAAGTCTTTGACCATCTTTTCTGCATGTACTCTATTCCTGTCACAGCCTAGTGCTGGGGACCCAGCTGTGAACCTGATAGCCACATCTCTACCCACATAGATTTCACACTGTAGCAGCAGCAACAGATTTAAAGTGCAGTTACAATGCCGGGAAATACTTGCTGCAGGGGAAAGTGCCAGATGTTATGGGAGCATTGACAAGGGGCATCTAACCTTATTTGGCCCAGCTTAGGGGCTCGGGCAGAGCTTTCTGGAAGAAGAGAGCATAGGCCCAGTCCTGAAGGATGAGCAGGGGCTACTCAGGCACCAGGGAGGAAGTGCAAAGGAGATGGATGGCCCGGCCTGTGTGAGAAATAGACAGCAGTTCGGGATGGCCAAGCCAGGGAGTACATTGGATACACGGAAGGGGGAGGGGGCGGGAGGGGAGGCGAGGCAGGAAGCCAGGCCCCATCCAGAGAGCCCGGGCAGCCACCGGAAGGCAGATGGGCTGGCACTGGAAGACTGTGGAATCCGTGGGTGACACAGTCACATTCATATTCTAGCAAGACCATCACCTGTCTGCAGGGGAGCAAGAATGGTGCCAGGTGCTGCACAGCACAGGCAGGAGGTGCCCGCGGTCCGCACTGGGGCAGTAGCAGGAGACCGAGAGAAGGGGCACGTCCCAGAGGTGTTAGGAGGGTCCCATCTTCCTGGAGGTGGGGAAAGCAGGGGGAGAAGAGGGGGGTGAGCCCTGAGCACGGGTGGGGGTCTCCTCAGAGTGGGCCAGTGAGCAGGCAGGTTGCAGGGGAGCAAAGCCAGGAGGTGAATGGCGAGCGAGGAGAGGGACTGCAGCCGCCCGCGGGGCCGGGCAGTCCCGCAGCCAGTGGCGCCAAGGGGGTGATCACACCTGCACCGGCGTCCACAACCCGGGGAGGAGTCCCGGGGAGGGTGCCTCCGCGGAGAAGGCCAGGAGCCGGGGGCGGGCGCTGATGCCCCCCTCCCCCCCATAGTGGAAACTAAGACTCCTTCAAGATGCCACAGAGCCAGGGCCCGGGGACATGGAGGCAGGGGCAAGCCTCCTCAGTGGGCATCGTGTGCTAAGGCAGAAGATGCTGGCCTCACTGAGAAGGCAGCGGGCAAGGTGTGGGCCCCAGGGGCACGGGCAAGAAGAGTCCTCTGGGCCGGGCGCGGTGGCTCACACCTGTAATCTCAGCACTTTGGGAGGCCAAAGAGGGCAGACTGCTTGAGCCCAGGAGCTTGAAACCAACCTGGGCAACATAGTGAGACTTTATCTCTACAAAAGTCTGTAAAAAATTAGCCAGGCACAGTGGCACACACGCCTATAGTCCTAGCTACTCAGGAGGCTGAGGCAGGAGGATTACCTAAAGCCCAGGAGGTAAAGGCTGTGGTGCGCTTGATGGTGCCACTGCACTCCAGCCTGGGTGGCAGAGTGTGACTCAAAAAGAACCCTCAGGAGAAACTGAGGGACCTCAGTGAAAGACTGAGAGACCAGGTCCCTGGCCATCTCCCAGTGAAGAAACCCACTGGGTGATGGGTTATTCTCAAGGTCTCCCTGTAGTTTTGTTACGTTTTTTTGAGTAAGAATCTCACTCTGTGGCATGCTTGTGGCCACCGCAGCCTCAACCTGCTGGGCTCAGTCAATCCACCTCAGCCTTCCAAGTAGCTGGAACTACCAGTGCGTGACACCACACCCAGCTAATTTTTTGATTTATTATAGAGATGAGGTCTCGCCAAGTTGCCCAGGTTGGTCTTAAACCCCGGGATCAGGCAATCCTCTCACCTCCGCCTCCCAAAGTTCCCTGTAGCTTAAGTACAAATAGGCCACAGAGAACCACCACACGCTCGAAGAAAGACACCAGTGAAAGACAGACCGAGAGAAACACAGGAACAAGAGAAGAGAAACGCAGAACTTAGAGGAACAGAGGCCGGCAGGAGCCAGAGTAGGTGTGACTCTCTCTGCAGGGAACAAACACGTGACAAGGCCAGCACCATGAGAGCAGGGCAAAAGCTGGGAACTCAGGAATAGTCCTTTTGAGGGACATCATGACTAGGCATGGTGGCTTGTGCCCACAATCCCAAGGCTTTGGAAGGCCGAGACAGGAGGATCACTTGAGGCCAGGAGCTAGAGAGCAGCCTGGGCAAGACAGTAAGACCTCGTCTCTGTGAAAAATAACAAAAATTAGTTGGGCATGGTGACTTGCGCCGGAATTCCCAGCTCCTCCGGAGGCTGAGGCGAGAGGATCGCCCGAGCACAGGAGTTCAAGCCTGCAGTGAGCTAAGACCATGCTTCTGTACTCCAGCCTGGGGACAGAGAGAGACTCTGTGTCTAAAATAAGAAAGTAGAAGACACCAGATGTCAAACTTCAAAGATCCTTCCAGCAGCCTCAGAGTCAGAGGATCGTGGAAGGGGAAGTTACCAAGGAGAGTAACGAAGTGCCCCAGACCTGAGGATGTGTCTTCTCCTGAGGAAGCCAGCCACGTGCCTGCGAGGGACTCTGCTGAGCGCAAGGCGGCCCCCACCTCGCTGTGGCTTCCGACTGCCAGGGACAGAGAGCGAGTCCCGCATACTCCGTGGGAAGCTGCAGGTGGCAGTGGCTTCTCCGTGGTGGCACCAAGCCAGAAGAACCAGAGCCCGGCCTCAGGAGATGGTCCCCACAACCCGGCACTGTGCCGGCTGCCTAGCGCAGGGAAGTCAGGCCGGCTCAGACAGGAACGGTCATGGAAGTGGCCCCTGAGCCCTCTGCCAGAAGGGGCAGGAAAGAGCCCCTTGGGCTTCAGGAAGCGGGTCTCTCCAGCAGAGCGCTGGGTGGGCTCTGAGGACGCGAGCGGCAGAGCGCTAGTCACAGAAGTGAGGTCCCAGGGAGGTGAGGGTGGCCCAAGGCCAGGGGGCAGGGCTGTGGGCCTAACAGGCAGGGTCCCCTCACCTGCAGGGGAGCCTGGGGGACGTACCCTCGCCTCCTTGCTCCTCTGCAGGAAGGGAGCCGGTGGGAAGAAGTGAAGACAGCGCAGAGGCCGTCTGGGCTGCAGGGAGGGAGGCGAAGGCAGGCTTCTCGCAGAGGGGCCGCTGGACGAGCAGGGAAGCCACTGCAGGGCAGGTGTGCAGCGGGGCATCGGGCCGGCTGGCTCAGGGTCGAGAGGCACGTGTCCCGGGGTGTCTCAAACCCTCCCCGCGGGACCTGCTGGAGGAGGCTAAAGACAGACGGGTGGAGAAGAGGGTCCTGTGGGAGTGAGCCCGGGGAAGGAGGATGGGGCCCAGAGGAGCCGACGGGTGGGGGTCTGAGGGAGGGAGCATCTGGGCCCGAGCCACTCCTGCAGCCGCAGGGGCCGAGGGCTGAGGGGCCCTTGGGACGTGGGATCCCAGTGGGAGGAGGACGGGAGGAGGCACCCGGTGCAGTGTGTCCTCCAGCCTGGGCGGCGGCACCGCTGAGGGTCCTCCCGGCCTCCTGCCTTCCGCGGCCTCCGCTGTCCTCGTGTGCCCAAGCAGCTCCCAAGGCCTCTTCCAGGGGCGGCTGGGGGCGCCTTTCTCCTCCACGACTTCTGTGTTTTCCCAAGTCTCTTGCCTTTGTGATACAATAACAGCTGTTTTGTTGCTTTTGGGGGACGGTTTGAGGTAGAGTCTCACCCTGTCGCCCAGGCTGGAGTGCAGAGGCATGCTCCCGGCCACCACAGCCTCGACCTGCTGGGCTCCGGCAATCCTTCCACCTCCGCCTTCTAAGTAGCTGGAACCACAGGCATGTGCCACCATGCCCGGCTGACTTTTTGGTTGGTTGTAGAGACGAGGTATCACCATGTTGCTCAGGCTGGTCTTGAACCCCTGGGTACAGGCCATCCTCTTGCCTCCGCCTCCCAAAGTGCTGGAATTCCAGGCATGAACCACTTCCTGCTGTTTTGTCATTTTGAAGACATAAAGTTCTTAAGAAGCAAATTTCAGCCAGGCTTGGTGGCTCAGCCTATAATCCCGCGCCTCTGGGAGGCTGAGGTGAGTGGATTGCCTGAGCCCACAGGTTCGAGACCCGCCTGGGCAACTTGTCGAGACCTCATCTCTACCATAAATCAAAAATCAGCCGGGCGTGGTAGCGCACGCCTGTAGTTCCGGCTACTCGGAAGGCGGAGGCGGAAGGATCGCCGGAGCCCAGCAGGTCGAGGCTGCGGTGGCCGGGAGTGGCCACTGCACTCCAGTCTGGGCGACAGAGTGAGACTCCAACTCAAAAAAAAAAAAAGTGAATTTTGGAAGGGATGCTGCTCAGGCCTGGGGTGCACAGTGGGAAGCCAGGCCACCCTGGGTCGGCCCTGCTGCCCGCTGCGTGCCCTTTCATCCTATAGACCAGCCCGGGGCCTGCCACTTGGTCAGATGGATTCTGTCCTGATCTGCCCCTCCCCGCCCTTTCCCTGCAGCCCCCTCCTCCCCTCAGCTATAGGGCGTCCTGGTCTGGGTCCTCTAACTCGGGCTTCTTCCGGCTATAGAACTTCTGGAGGTTTATATTCCGGAAGAACCTGCCCTCCACCGCCCTCTGTCAGATGGACTTTGCCGTCCTGGGCCTCGGGGACTCCTCGTATGCCAAGTGAGGAGGGAATGGGAGGACTGCGGTGGGATGGGGACCTGGCCCCCGGCTTTGCTTCTGGGCCGTGTGGCTCCTGCAGTGGCGCTGGCTTCCGTCCCCATCCACAGATGTTCCCAGGGGCACCCTGGGCATCATGGCGGAAGGGGCAGGGGAGAGGCAGGTGGGCAGCAGTGACCACTGCACACCCAGGATGGAAGGGGTGGGCTCAAGAGAGTCAACATCTTGTCTCAGCACATGACAAAGACCTGCAGGGACCCATCTGGTGCTGGTCCCACTTTACAAGACATGCACCATGAGGCACTTACCACTTAGGGGATGGTGATACGGTGCGTGTTCCAGCAGCGGGGTGGCCCCTGGTGTTTCCCCTTGAGCATCTTCACGACACGCCTGCCCTGAGCAGGAGTGGCGTTGCCTTCACCACCTCCTGGGGAGTCAGAGGAACTTGTGTGCAGGGGCACAATGGCCTCTGAAGACACCAGCGCGTGTAAACTGCCTGGCCGTGCACGTGGCGGGTCTCGGTCACTTCAGATGAGGACAGAAAATGGGAAGCCAGCACTCAGTTCTGCTTGGAGGTCTTGTTCGGTGTCTGATGCAAGAATTGATCAGGCTCGAGGGCAGGTGGGCGGGACGGTGCCCAGCTGCTGGCAGTGCTGCCCGGAGGTGACACAGAGCCAGTCGTGCCTTTCTGAGTCAAAGTAAGGGACAAAAACCACCCCCAGAGGCCGCCAGGTCCTCCCCCAACTAAAGGCCTCCCAGCTGAGGCGTCACCCCAGCCCTGGCTGGGAGTCCGGGGCCCCAGGGACGAGGGCCCATGGTAGGACGAGGCTGCATGCTCCGGCCCACCCCGGCACATTTCCCAGGAGTAGAGGACCCACTGGCTTGCGCCCAGTACTGGCAGCCCTGGCTCATGCCTCGGCTCCCTGGGCCACCCAAGGAATGTCCCTACTCCAGGGAATGGCCCTGCCAGACTCGGCTCTCCTGTGGCCACCTGGCCTCCCTGGCTCCAACCGGGGCCACCTCACTGTCTCCACAGGTTCAACTTTGTGGCCAAGAAGCTGCACCGGCGGCTGCTGCAGCTGGGGGCCGGTGCCCTCCTGCCCGTGTGCCTGGGTGATGATCAGCATGAGCTGGGGTGAGTCTGCGGTGGCCCCTGCGGCCCTGGTCCCGCCAGACGGGCTCCCCTCAGACTGTCTGCTCCCGCAGGCCTGACGCCGCCATCGACCCCTGGCTGCAGGACCTGTGGGAGAGGGTGCTGGGGCTGCACCCGCCACCACCGGGCCTCGCCCCAATCCCCCCTGGAGTCCCGTGAGTTCCCCAGAGGCACAGCAGACCCAGCCTGGGCCCTCCAGGGGGTGGGTGCCCAGGAGTGAGCCCCCCTGAACACACCCTCCCCACAGCCTCCCCTCCCAGGACTGGGGACCGGGGAATGAGCCTCCCCCTGAGCGCACCCTACCTGCAGCCTCCCTTCCTGGAGGTGGATGCCTGGGAGGGAGCTCCACCCCCAGCTTTCCTTCCCACAGCCTCCCCTCCTGGGGCTTACGTGCCTGGGAGTGAGCCCATGCCCTCCCCACAGCCTCCCCTCCAGGTTCACCCTGCAGTTCCTCCCTGAGGCTCCTGGCACGGGCTCCAAGGGGCAGAGCTCCAGCCCGGGCTCCCAGGAGCTCCCGTCAGAGTCGCAGCCCTTCCTGGCGCCCATGCTTGCCAACCAGAGGGTCACCAGCCCCTCCCACTTCCAGGACGTCCGGCTGATCGAGTTCGACATCACTGGCTCGGGCATCTGGTGAGACCTGAGCAGCCAGGACAGCAGGCGGGTAGGGGCGGCGGGGGTGGGGGTGGTGGCAGTCATATTTCAACTTCATACTTCTTGGATCCAATTTGTGATGTGTGTTTTCAGTGTGCAGACCCTAAAGTATGTATGTAATAGTTTACTCCTTTTCAGATTCCTAATTCAATGTGACCTTGGTTCCTACTCAGACCTCACTGAAACCTGACTTGGCACTAAGGCAAGTTCAGCACACTATCAACCCTGCTTGAGCTCCCTTAGGGAAAGTTAGGCATTGAGTACCAAACCAAGTTTCCAGTGTTTGGTTTCCCCAGTCAAGAGAACTGACCTTGAGAAGCTGTGAAGTTAAAATCAAGGGCTTATCTTCTCTCTGATCCCATTTTTTTCATCTATGTAATGGGGAATAATAATACCCATCTTCAAGATATTTGGGACTA